GCTTCTCCCTCTCCCAGTCCCCCTACTTGTGTTCGCTCTCTCGCGGTCTCTCTCCCCATCAAATAAATTTAAAAAATCTTTTAAAAAAATCATTAAGAAATGTATATGCCTATATATGTTTATGTTGGCTCGTTTTGTTGTAAGAAATATGGCTAAATAAGGAAGTGTAAAAGCTATACAGAGACGTATTTAACATACACCTCATTTTAAAGATAGCACATCACTTTTGCAATAATGAAAAGTTTTATCTTGTTTATATGTGGAATTTTAACAGGAAGAAGAGGAGTATGAAACTAAAGGAGGACGTCGGAGAACATGGGATGATGATTATGTACTCAAGCGGCAGTTTTCTGCTTTGGTTCCTGCTTTTGATCCTAGACCTGGTCGTACTAATGTCCAGCAGACGACTGATCTAGAGATTCCACCGCCAGGTACTGTGTATTTTAGTTTTGTGATTTATTTTGAACAGATACCAAATAATGTTATATGTAATCAGGAAAGTAAGTGCTACTTATATATGCAGGTTATAAGTAAAAGTTTTCAAAAAAAGAAAAAAAACTACATATCAGCCACAAGTCCTTAAAATATACAGATTTTTTATAAGATTTTTTTTATTTATTGGAGAGAGAGAGGGAGAGAGCACAAGCAGGGGGAAGAGCAGAGAGAGCCTGATGCGGCGCTCGATCCCAGGACCCCGGGATCATGACCTGAGCCGAAGGCAGACGCTTAACCACTACACCACCCAGGCATCCTGATACAGATTATTTTTAAAGGAGCAAATTGCAGTTCTTTAAAAACACAGCGTTCTGTGTTTGCGTAATTTTTAAAGGAAGGCTCATTTAAAGGTAGATAATTTGTATTCTCTATTCTACTGGATCAAAATTGCTATGGATTATTCCTATTCTACTTTGGAAAGTTGTATAGTAGTTTCATTTATGGTCTTGAGTTAGTCAGCCTGGTAACTCTCTCTCACAACTCTGTTTTGGTTGTAATAGGCACACTAATGATCCCCAAAGGTATGCAGGTCCTGACCTCCGTAATCTGTGAATAGGTTACCTTAGTATGACAAAAGAGGCTTTGCAGACGAGATTAAATTAAGGATTTTGAGATGGGGGAATTATCCTGGATTATCCAGGTAGGCCCAGTGTAAACATTAGTGTCCACATAAAAGCAGTACAGGAGGGGGGGCGCCAGAGTGGCGCAGTTGGTTGGGTGTCAGACTCTTGGTTTCGGTTCAGGTCGTGATCTTGGAGTCATGAGAATCAACCCTGCGTCGGACTCTGTGCTCAGTGTAGAGTCTGCTTGAGACCGTCTCCTCCCTTGGCCTCTCCCCCTCTGCGCTCTTGCTCTCTCTTTCTCTCTCTAACGTAAGTAAATAAATTTAAAAAAAAAAAGCTTAAGAGGAATACAGGAGGGTCTGAGACAGAGAAGGAGATTTGACAACAGGAAGCAGAGATCAGAGTGTTGAGGGGCCATGAACTGTGGAATACGGGCAGCCTCTAGATGCTCGAAAAGACAAGCAAACAGATTCTTAGAGCTTCCAAAAGGAACAAAGCCCTGCCAACCCATTTAAGATTTCTCCCTTCTAGAACTGGTTGTTTTAAACCACCCAGTTTATGGTAATTTATTAAAACAGCAATAAGATGCTAATATACTGAGCAAATCACCTAATTTGTGTAAGCCTGAATTTTCTCATCTCTTACATGGAGAAAGTGATAGTTTCTATTTGACAAGGTAGTTAAAAGCTTTAAATGAGGTAAAATATATAAAGTGCTTAGCATGGTACCTGATGTATGCCTCAATAAACATCAGCTATAGTAATCAGTATATTATCCTTAAGGAAGACTTAAATGTTGATTAAGTATGGAATGTATTTTTTACTTGATAGAACGATACCTGTGTTAAATAGGGGGGAAGTAAGTATGCTTCATAGTATGATGTTCTATGGTGAGTTTGCATATAGGCTGATCAAGATGTTCCAAGATCCCTTCAAAAAGAAAAACCTATGCTACGGAATATAAACAGGTACAAATTTTCTGTAGAGCTCTTCAGCAATATATTTCATATTGTTACTACCAGAAATCTATAGTAAAGAAATACTGGCTCTGCACCCAGATTTATATACACTGGTGACTACACAAGTATTATTTATATTGTCAGAAAATTGGAAATGACCTTCATTATTTCCAGTAACAGGGATATGGTTCGTTTAATGGAATGTCATGCAATGAATAAAATTAATACTTCAGAAGATTATATCATGGTATGAGGAAAAAATTGCTGAGCTAATGAAAAAGAAGAGTACACCACCAAATACACTATGTACCTATTTGTGTGTGGCGGGGGGCGGTACCTCACAATCCACTCATTCAATGTGAGCAGAAGGTTGACAGTTCATTGACTGGAGTCTGTGGTTTTCTCTGTATGTAGAGCTATGAATAATTTTAGTGTTCTGATTTATAAGAATAAAATGTTTCTGAAATATTCATATAGTTAGCATGTGTTTTCTTAAAACAATGAGATCCCTATCATATGCATAAATTCAGCTTTAATGCTCTGTCTTTAAGTAACCTAGGTATGTTGTTCCCATTTTCTAAAAAAAAATTGTTGAGGCCAGAAGAGTCTTAAGTAGCTGATGTCTTTACTAATATCTGACAGAAGAATTTAGATTTCATGTAGCTTTGTCTCCCGGTGCAGTGTTCCTTATGGCCTGCTTGCTATAGTGTAATTGTTTTTGATGTCTTCCATATTTTTAGGAACACCTCATTCAGAGCTCTTGGAAGAAGTTGAATGTACTCCGTCACCTCGATTAGCCCTCACTTTGAAAGTAACAGGTCTTGGAACAACTCGTGAAGTTGAATTACCACTCACCAATTTCAGATCAACCATTTTTTACTATGTACAAAAATTGCTTCAATTGTCCTGTAATGGCAGTGTGAAATCAGATAAACTTAGGCGTATTTGGGAGCCAACATACACGTAAGAGATTTTAACATAATGTTTTAAGTAGGTATTTTCATGATGCATCAGCCTAGAAGCATTGTATTTCTGTATTTTTTACTATAGAAATAAAATATTTGGTTCTTGTTCTCTTGGTTTACAACGGGATTAAGAGCATTTCTGACTCCTGAGGTAGAATGTTTTAAGGTTTCAACTGAAAGTAACTTTAGAAATAAACTAGACTAGTATCTTATGTAATAAATGTTGAACTCTTTGCATTTGTGTATGAGGTACTAAATATTTTCTGTTTTTTGTTTTGGGGTTTGCAAGTTAAGCCTACCGCTCTTTGTTCATTCATTCATTGAACAAGTAATTAATAATGACCTTGGGCACATTTAATGTTTTGGTGGCTCATTCTGTTAATCAGTAAAATGAGCCTGGTTGTGAGGAATCAGTGAATTAATACATGTAAAGTGTTTTCAGTATTGTCTGGGTGCTCAGTATTACCTATAATAATTATTAATTATTATTTATTATTTAATAACAGCTTAATATGTAAATGAAATTTTAATCATCCTGTAAATCTTACTTTTATTTTTCTGATGTTCTCTTAACATCATTGATAATTTTATGTAATGTCTAATGAAGTGATCTAGATCCTTTTGAGATAAAACAGAAGGCTATCATGATATTTCTCCCCACCCTGTTCAGTGTTTATTGGAGTTTCAAATTTTATCTCCACTGCCTTATGTGAACATAAAGGCTCCTGGTCCTTGTTTTTCTTATCCTTTTTTTCCATCTAGACATAGAAGCGCAAACCATTTCTCATCTTTTTTTATTTTTACAACAATAAATGAAAGTTATAACACATGATATAGCATATTACTTCATATCTTTAAAGATCCTAGGTTTGACAAACGTATGCAATCTTTGCAATTATGCTAAATTTATAAATAATAACTCTTTTTCAGGAATATGATTTCTGCTGCTTTCCCCCATGTTTAACAAATTGAATTTTTTTTTTAAATAAATTGTCCCTGAGTTTAATGTTTAAGCATATGGCTAATGAATGACATCATTCATGTATTTTTTAAAGAATTGAAGCCTTATTGGAAATAACCACAAATCATTTGATTTATGAATTAATGTGAATAATATCTTCATGTTTAGAATCATGTACAGAGAAATGAAGGATTCTGACAAAGAGAAGGAAAATGGAAAAATGGTAAGTGATATTTAAATGGATCTTCTTGGCTACTTAGTGAAAAAAAGGGAAAATAAAGAAAAACTAACACTGTTTTAATTGAACATTTGAGGGGAAAAAATCACTAACATGGAATTCTTTAGATGAGGTTAAATGCATGATTTTAAAGCTACCTTATGTAATGCATGTGAAATAGCATAGACTTTTAATCAGGAAAGGCCAACATTTGGTTTTTCCTATTGTAGGGTTGTTGGTCTGTAGAGCATGTGGAACAGTACCTTGGCACTGATGAATTACCAAAGAATGACTTGATAACCTACCTGCAGAAGAATGCAGACGCCGCTTTCCTGCGCCACTGGAAATTAACTGGCACTAATAAAAGTATTAGGAAAAACAGAAATTGTTCTCAGCTCATAGCTGCATATAAGGTATATATTGGCATCAAAACACAATTGGGAATGGCTTTGTGCTTTGTTTGCAGCTTTTAAAGACTCTTAAGAAAAAGAGGTTCATTGGGACATGTTTAAAAAATGAGGTTGAATTAACATTGTTAATATGCCAAGTACTAAAACTTCAAATGTGATTTGTGGTATTGGATCTAATAAGTACATGGTTTTAACTGTGGCTTACGGTGGTTATAGTTTATTTGGGAATGGTTTAGAACATATTGATTTTCAACTTGGGTAATAGTGTTTTTATTTAAAAAGAAGGCAATTTGAAAAATTTCAGCATTTTCAAATACTTATAGGATGATACAGTGCTTTTCTCGAAAATGTGATTAATGGCTAGTTTTACTAATTGTTTCTATAGGATTTTTGTGAGCATGGAACAAAGTCTGGATTAAACCAGGGGGCCATTTCCTCTCTTCAGAGTAGTGATATTCTTAATTTGGCAAAAGAACAACCTCAGGCCAAAGCTGGCAATGGACAGAATTCTTGCGGAGTAGAAGATGTTCTTCAGCTTCTGCGTATTCTCTATATAGTTGCAAGTGACCCTTATTCAAGAATATCCCAAGAAGGTCTGTAAGAATCCTTGTTTCATTTCTGTGTCATTTTTAAAAGGAAGTCCGTTTATTTATATCTTTATTAATTTTATTAATTTTACAGAAGGCGATGAGCAGCCTCAGTTTACTTTTCCACCAGATGAATTCACTAGCAAAAAAATCACAACAAAAATCTTGCAGCAGATTGAGGTAATAAAATCAGATAGTTGAACTCGTTAGTCTGTAACTTTTAGACTTTCAAAGTATTGTCTCTTCTTTTTCTACTTTCCACCATCTCTACTGTTAATCTCTGATTCGTTGATTTAGGCCATATGGTCCATTGGCATTAATTTCTTTCATTACTTTTAAGAAGTGACTCCTGTTTTTCTTTTTAAATAATTGTATGATGACATTGTTATTTGTTAATTTGCAGGAACCGCTGGCATTGGCAAGTGGGGCTCTACCAGACTGGTGTGAACAGTTAACCAGCAAGTGTCCTTTCCTAATACCGTTTGAAACTAGACAGCTTTATTTCACGTGTACAGCATTTGGTGCATCAAGGTAGGAAGTACTTTTATATTTTTTTTAGTGTTATATAAGCTCAAAATGTACAAATATACTTTATGTCAAGACTGATGGAAGGAATATATTATCTTGTTTTCTTATAAAGAGTTGTAGTGTTTAAACGTTTTTTTTTATTTCTAGTTGGATACATGCTCTCCTACAGTTGACCCTTGAACAATGTCAGGGTTAGGGATCCCAACCCTCCCTGCGCAGTTGATCATATTTAAAGATCTTATTTATTTGGGGGAGACAGAGAGTTCGTGAGTGGGGAGAGGGAAAAAGAGGGAGAAGCAGACTCCCCACCCAGCAGGGAGCCCAATGTGGAACTCGATCCCAGGACCCTGGGATCATGACCTGAGCCGAAGGCAGACGCTTAACGACCCAGTCACCCAGGCACCCTTATTTATTTATTTTAGAGATAGACAGCATGAGCAGGGGGAGGAGCAGAAGGAGAGGGACAAGCAGACTCCATGCTGAGCACAGAGCCCGAAGCAGAGCTCGATTCCATGACCCTGAAATCATGACCTGAGCTGAAATCAAGAGTTAGAGGATTAACCAACTGAGCCACCCAGGCACCCCTAAAGATTTTATTTTTAAGTAATTTCTACACCCAGCATGGGGCTCGAATTTACAACCCCAAGACCAGGAGTTAACATGCTCTACCAACTGAGCCAGCCAGGTGCCCCCAAAAGAAAATATTTTAAAATCAGTAGCATTTTAATGATGGCTTTCAGTTTGTATCACAGTAATAAAGATAGCTTAATGATTTTTTAGTTTCTCCATAGTTAAGAAGTATTCATTTGTAATTTTTTTTTTTTAAGATTTTATTTATTTATTTGACAGAGACACGAGAGAGGGAACACAAGCAGGGGGAGTGGGAGAGGGAGAAACAGGCCTCCTGCTGAGCAAGGGCCCCGATGCAGGGCTCGATCCCAGGACCCTGGGATTATGACCCGAGCTGAACGCAGATGCTTAACGACTGAGCCACCCAGGCGCCACTAATTTTATTCTTTTTTTTTTTTAAAGATTTTATTTGACAGAGACAGCGAGAGAGGGAACACAAGCAGGGGCAGAGGCAGAGGGAGAAGCAGGCTTCCCACGGAGCAGGGGGCCCGATGCGGGGCTCGATCCCAGGACCCTGGGATCATGACCTGAGCTGAAGGCAGATGCTTAACGACTGAGCCACCCAGTCATTTGTATTTTTATGTATCATAAGTTTGTCTATTTTTTAAATTGAAATATAGTTGACAGGCCATGTTACATTAATGGAAGGTGTACAACAGTGATTCAGCAACTGTGTACATTATGCTGTGCTCACAAGTGTAGCAACTGTCTGTCAGCCATACAATGCTATTAGAATCCTATTGACTGTATTCCCTATGCTGTTCATTTCATCCCCAGTTTTTGTATATTTTTGTGTCACATGGGATTGGGACCACAGACCTTTATTTTGATCTGTTAATTACTAAAGTAAAGAGGAAAAATACCTAAGTATTTTCTCAATTTGTTTAGAAAAATAATAAAGGGGTTTATATGTTTTAAGAGAGGAAGCAACAATTTATGCAGTAAGAAAATCTGTCGCCTAATAAAATACTATTTTTTGTTTGTTTTTTTTTAAGATTTTATTTATTTTTATTTGAGAGAGAGAGAATGAGAGAGAAAGAGCACATGAGAGGGGGGAGGGTCAGAGGGAGAAGCAGACTCCCCGCCGAGCAGAGAGCCCGATGCGGGACTTGATCCAGGGACTCCAGGATCATGACCTGAGCCGAAGGCAGTCACTTAACTGACTGAGCCACCCAGGCGCCCCTAAAATACTATTTTTCAAAAGAATAGTTAAATCTTTGAATTACATTGCTGGTTTAATAGTACATTCTAACTATTACTGAACGGTAGAGCTACATAAATATTTTTCTGTTTTAGAGCAATAGTGTGGTTACAAAACCGACGTGAAGCCACCGTGGAAAGAACAAGGACCACCAGTACTGTCAGGCGAGATGATCCTGGAGAGTTTCGAGTGGGTCGTCTCAAGCACGAAAGAGTGAAAGTCCCACGTGGTGAATCACTGATGGAATGGGCTGAGAACGTCATGCAAATACACGCAGATCGGAAATCGGTTCTTGAGGTACCTCGCTCACATATAATTTCTTTTCGTATGCAGGAATGACAGAAAACCAGCAAACCTGTATGTTCCACAGCATGCAAACTACATTAGATAGAAATGAAAAATGGAGAGGGATTTCTCTGCCCTCTATGCAAGGCCTTTCCCTCTGATAGAGCATCTTTTATAAGAGGATGTCAGCTCACCTCTTCAGAGGTCAGGATCTTGTGATTTGATGAGCAGCAAAGAGTATCTTCACTCTTGAGGTGGGAAAGTGCTTGGTCCTTTTGAAGGACATTACTCCTTTCTTAACAAAGCCTGAGCCGAATAATGGCACTCACTAAGGATTCTTTTTGATACTCTGTATTTTACCTTTATATTAAGCTCTGCTATTAGATATCTGCAATTTGGGAGCATACTGTTTTATAATATTGTTAGACTGTGCTTGGCATTATATCATTGGCCTGTGTTGAGAGATGTTATGGCAAATAACAGTATAAAATTTAATATCCTTACTATAGAGATGTTACTGTAGGCATTGTTGATTATATCCTATATACCTGTTATTCCCTATATGAGGGACAATGGAAGAAATCTCTCTCATAAATGTGAACCAGCTGCTTATTTTATCTTTTTTTTTTTTTTAAGATTTTATTTTATTTATTCGTTTGAGAGCACGAGTCGGGGATAGAGGCAGAGGAAGAGGGGAAAGCAGACCCTGCTGAGCAGGGAGCCCAGTGTGGAGCTTGATCCTCATCCCCCCTGAGATCAGGCTCTGAGCTGAAGGCAGACGCTTAACTGACTGAGTCACCCAGGCGTCCCTTAGTTTATCATTTGAATCAGAGACTGATCATGGCAAATATGATACATCTCTAGAAAATATATAAGGCTTTTAGGGCTTTCACTTTAAACTCTCTTTGCCTTCATCTTATTCTTCAAACTAGATCAACCTCAATTATTTTATTTTTTTTAATCATGCACTATATGTTTTTATAAGCTGCCTCAAATCACTTGTGGAGTATGTAGAGTATGGATAAAAGCCTTTAAAGTGATTGCCTGAAGTCAGGAGTAAGTGCAAGAGTTTAGGTTTTAGTGTTACATAGACACACATACACAGCTGTATGCCACTTTTTCCTCAAGCAAATGATGTAATCTTTTTATCTAAAATTTGGTTTCCTTTGGTGTAAAAAAATGAGATGAAAATCTATTTTGTAGGGTTGGTGTGAGAAATAAATTAATGAACAATGTAGTGAACAATGCTCACCACAGTGTTTATGCAGTGGTGTACAACAAATACACTTTTTAGAAAAACTGGAATAAAACTTCTGTGTTGTCTATAATGTGTTGTGTATAATATTCTACTGCTGTTGCGGGGTGCCTGGGGTGGCTCAGATGGTTAAGCGTCTGCCTTCGGCTCAGGTCATGATCCCAGGGTCCTGGGATCGAGTCCCGCATCGGGCTTCCTGCTCCTTGGGAGCCTGCTTCTCCCTCTGCCTGCCGCTCCCCCTGCTCATGCTCTCGCTCTCTCTGTATCTCTCTGTCTCAAATGAATAAATAAAATCTTAAAAAAAAAAAAATTCTCTTGTAAAAAAAAGACGTATTGGCAAGAATGGGATCATTTAAGAAAAATTTTTTAAGCTCACTTGTCCCCACAATTTGTTTACATTTTAGGTTGAATTTTTAGGAGAAGAAGGAACTGGCTTGGGCCCTACATTAGAGTTTTATGCTCTGGTGGCAGCAGAATTCCAGAGAACTGATCTGGGAGCTTGGCTTTGTGATGATAATTTTCCAGATGATGAATCTCGTCATGTAAGATTTAGTTCCCATTTTGTGATTATTTGTGATTCTGCTTTTAGTATTAAAAATAGGTTATGCTTTCAGAATTTAAGCCAGGCTTTCTGACTCTCTTTTTTATTATTGATTAGATGCTATTAAAATGTTCTCTCAGTCATCAAAAACTATTTAATAAAAGGTGTATACATAAATACTTTAACTAAATTGATGAAGATGTTTAATATTTATGCATCTTTTATCTAATTTTATTTGTATTTCTCCCTCTAAAACACTAGGTTGATCTTGGGGGTGGATTGAAACCTCCCGGATACTATGTGCAGAGATCATGTGGACTGTTCACAGCACCATTTCCACAAGACAGTGATGAGCTTGAAAGGATCACGAAACTCTTTCATTTCCTTGGAATTTTCTTGGCCAAATGCATTCAAGACAATAGACTTGTGGACTTACCTATTTCTAAACCTTTCTTTAAACTTATGTGTATGGGTGACATTAAAAGCAATATGAGTAAATTAATTTATGAGTCACGAAGTGATAGAGACTTACACTGTACTGAAAGTCAGTCTGAAGCTTCTACAGAAGAAGGTCATGATTCACTCTCAGTAGGAAGCTTTGAAGAGGATTCAAAATCAGAGTTTATTCTAGATCCCCCCAAACCAAAACCCCCAGCTTGGTTTAATGGAATTTTAACTTGGGAAGACTTTGAACTAGTAAACCCACACAGAGCCAGATTTTTAAAAGAAATTAAAGACCTTGCTGTCAAGAGGCGTCAGATTTTAAGCAACAAAGGTCTTTCTGAAGATGAGAAGAACACGAAATTACAGGAACTAGTGCTAAAGAATCCATCAGGTTCTGGGCCTCCACTTAGCATAGAGGATTTAGGGTAAGTTTTTTATACATGTTCGTCAACCTAATGGATGAATAAGTTTTAAAGCTTTTGTTTCTTTGTCCCCACTAATAGGCAATGTATGAGTTCAGTAGTCTGTTAAGAACAATAATATGCTGTAGGAAATAGTACTGATTTGAATCTTTGAATAGTTCATATTATAAAGACAACACTCAGAATACCAGAACATAGTGTATTAAAACATCACATCTCTGGAAGATTATCTGATTTATCAAATATGATTAATGTATATATCTTACAGGAAAGTCCAAAGCCAAAAATATTTTGAGAAATCATGGCTAGTTAATATAGTGTACTTGGCAGGGCTCAAAATAGTTTGGTCTGTATGTAGGCCTTATGCCCAATGGCTTAGCTAACTCAAATGCTACACATCTTTTGGTAACACTCTGTTAATTTGTATACATGTAATTATTATACCCTTAGTATGTTTTACTATGATTTTGGGCTGACTGAAAGTCTTGCTTTCTTCTTCTTTCTTTCTTAGTTGATAATTTTGAGAGGTTTTGTTTGATAATTTACTATATATTCAAGGTTTGATTTCAGGGTAGGGACAGAGCGTGAATAACTTTAGTGAAGCAGTAGTTTCTCCTTGAAAAAAAAAACAAAATAAAGATGCTGCTGTCGTAATTTATTGCAAAAACCCTTACTTTGTTAATTTTGTGCCATAAGAGAGAAGTGAAATATGGAAAGGTGGTGGTTTCCTGCAATCTTTGCAAAGCCAGGTTTGGTAATGGTTGTTCTAATAATTTTTGTGCACAGGGGTTTTGCATTCAAAAGTCCTCCTACTTAACATCTAAGCTGGTATACTGTTTTTTGTTGGAAGGGTGCAGGGAGTGGGGGTTCATGGTTTTGGCAGCAGTGTTTTATTTATTTTTTAAAGATTTTTATTTATTTGAGAGAGAAAGCACAAGTTGGGGGAGGGGCAGAGGGAGATGCAGACTCCCCCTGAGCAGGGACCCTGATGCAGGGCTCTATCCCAGGACTCCAGGATCATGACCTGAGCTGAAGGCAGACGCTTAACCAACTGGCCACCCAGGTGCCCCTTTGGCAGCAGTGTTTTAAAAATTAAACACCAATGGTAGCTGAATGTTAATCCAGTCCTTTTTGTCTTCCCAGTTTAAATTTCCAGTTTTGCCCTTCCTCAAGAATATATGGTTTTACAGCTGTGGATCTCAAGCCAAGTGGGGAAGATGAGGTAATAAAAATTTTGTTTTTGATGTAGTTGTAAGTTCAGAACATCTTAATGAGGCCAGTTGTAGTAGGTGCTACTGAAATATTCCTAGATATTAACAACAATGTTGGCAAATTTTCCTTTGTAGATGATAACAATGGATAATGCAGAAGAATATGTGGATTTGATGTTTGACTTTTGTATGCATACGGGTATTCAGAAACAGATGGAAGCCTTTAGAGGTAATTTTTAGGGCTCTTTAACTTAATCTTTCTCTTTTTACTTTGAGACATTTGAAATTAAGGTATTTCTCTTGTCAAGAATTGTAGGTAATCTCTAGATTTGCCCTCTAGTTTCCTGTCTTCCAGATAGTTAGGTCCGTCCCACAGAGTACCCAGAACAGGTTGGAACATTCTCCAGCTGTGGTATACCCTCAACTTGCTCCTCCTGAGTAATGGGGGACTCACTTTTGGCCTCCATTTCTTCATTTGTATGTGGACATAGGTTGCATACTTTACGCATTACATGAATTAAGCCAAGTTAGAACCTAAGTTCTTAGGTGAGAATTGAAGCAAAGTATATTAGACTATTCATCACATACTAGTTTTGAAAATGAGAATATAGCTTTGGATAGCCTTGTATGACACAAAGAGCTGGTTAAGAAATTACTAGAATTTGGCTACTGACCATAGTGACTGAATATCTATGTTCACATTTGCAGTATTAAGTGAAATTTCTGTACTTAAAACCTTAGCACAGCTTTGATTTCAAGCTATTTTAATTTATATTTGTTTTTTCAAGCATTTACTGATATTTTATTCATATTATGTCCATTTAGTTGATATTAGCTATTTTGATTTGAAATTTGGTATTTTGAAATTGTAACTTAGAAATTGAGTTGTGTGTTTTGTTTTTATTTTTTTGCTGTGTATAATGTAGATGGGTTTAACAAAGTTTTTCCAATGGAGAAATTAAGTTCCTTCAGCCATGAAGAAGTCCAGATGATACTTTGTGGAAACCAGTCACCATCCTGGGCAGCAGAGGATATTATTAATTATACTGAACCTAAGTTAGGTTATACACGTGACAGGTATGTATTGGTTATTTTCTAAGGTTAACAAAATAGTTTATGTCCCAAAATCAAATGGCAGATTCTCTAAAGAACTACGACTTAGTGAAGTGAGAAAGCTGTTTTCATATCCATTGATAA